CTATCAGTGGAGGTTTATGCATCGCCAGGATACAGTTTCAGCAAGTTTTCCAGACTAAGACTAGAAAGAAAGGACTGGCAATCAACTTTCAGAAAAATTCAGCCAAGCATCCTTGTAAGGATCACCTGGATCCACAGAAGTACAAGTGGGAGGAATACAAGAATGGAGAAGCTGGCTAAGCTTAGATGTGTTCCTTCGGTGCTGCCCACCTAGCACACATAGATGTGTGAATGAACAGGAGAGAAGTGTTGGCTTGAGGAGCAGGGAGCCTTAAGTATCCCTGGCTTTGTCCCATGTGGGTTCTAGGCCTAAATGAAGAGGCCAGCATATCTGGAACTCAGTGAGAAGTGTGGACTTCTGACTTTGCGGCTGATGCGCATCTCTATCTAGCCATGATAGCAAAGGGGTGGGTTGGCCAGAATCTCACCAGATAAAGAGAAGATGATCCACGCTGTGAGTTAGGGATGATTGCTGCAATCCCTGCAATCCGATGACTTGCTCTGGACTGGACTTTGCTTGTGGATACAGATGCTCAATGTTTTCAAGTTGAACAGAGGATTCTTCAGCAAAAGGGATATGCTTGTTCCCTCAGATACTGGTTTGACTCTTGTTGTTTTGCACCGTTGAGTTAGAACCAATCCATAACTGACCCTCCGGTGGGTTTTCAAAGGCAGTTAATGACTTGCACAGGAGGAGATTGCCCATCCTTCTCCTTCGGAGAAACTGATGGATTCGAACTGTGTGTTTTTGCGATTGCACTGCAGCTTCTTGTCACTAGGCCACCAGTGCTCTACTAGTTTGATAGGGATGGACAAATAGAAAATTTGCTATCTTAAATGGGGATATTAAGGCACAAGAGACATCAAGTAACTGGCTTACACACTTAATAACTACAAATGTAGTTATTAGTAAGGTGATTGTACGGGGGTGGGGGAGGAACTCCACAATAACATGAACAAATACAAACATGCACGAAACACAATGTATAAGAATTATAAAAATATTAATAAAAATTGTTTTCATAAAAATTAAACCAGTGAAAAACCTAACCAATCATAATTGTCTAATTTCAGTGGCTATGCATGGGGTCGTGAAGAGGTAAAGGTCAACTCTGAGTGTTAACAAAACGAGGAAAAGAAAGCTGTCTGAGACTAGCCACCTAATTGCCAAAATGTCTTGTGCCTATCCTTTGCGACCAATGAGTTTTTATGTTTGTGAATGTCTTTGAAGAAAGTAGAAACTATGTTTCAAAAAGTCATTACAGGCTCCTTTCATAATCTAAATCTTCATAAAGACTCACTCCACTGAACAAAGACGGAAATTGAGATTAAGCAATTTAGTGGTCACCCAGTCGACAGTGATGGAATCGAATTTCAAATGCAGCTCTCCCTCTTTAAGGCTCACTCTTTATGCAGTATTACTACTGTACATTCCTGCATATTACAATGTAAGATGCACTGACTATCTCATTGACTCCCAAAAGAACAAACAAACATGCAACCAGGGTGGTCCTCCGAGGCAAAGTGGTGAAGCATACATACTTTGGGCATGTGGTCAGGAAGGGTCAGTCTTTGGAAAAAGACATCAAGCTGAAGAAGGTAGTCAGCAAAAGCAAGGAAGACCTTTAATAATAAACTGGATTGACAGTGACTCTGAAAATGAGCTCAAGTCTGGAGGAGATGGCAAAGATGTGGCACGATGGGACAAAGTTCAGGTCTGTTCACAGAGTCACTATGAGTCATAGCCTACGTGATGGTACCCAACATCATTCATCAATCCGTCCAAGAAACTGTCATCATTGTTACACATGATTGCCTCGAAATGAGTTTAAAAACGGAATTAACACAAACAAGCTATCTCAACAGGTTTGGAAATTTCATTTCAATATAAGATAATAAAATAGAGAGGCTTTATCTGCATTTCTTCATTTGGCAATTTAAGGTGACTGCAATAGAATAATTCATTTATAAAATACAAACGGTGCTAACAGTGCTCACCATCTTCAGTGAAGAATGGACTCTCGTTAACAATTACAAAGTGGAAGGGGCCCAAGCAATTTTGCCAAAAGGAGGGATATGGAAATTCTCCCCACAGCCAGAACAATGAACATAGATTTGTCAAAACAAAGAACAGTGAAGTGAGAGAAGGCCGTTTGTCCAGCCCTTGTTATGCTACTTTACGGCTATTTTTCCACTTGCTGGTTTCCTATTCACTCTAACAAAGAAATGGATTAAACAAAAGACTTAATGCTTTATAAGTTACAGTATTCTGTAGTAAAAGAAAAAAACAAAACAAAACAAACCACCAAACAAACAAAAAATCCAAAGCCAAAAAACTGCAAAGAATTCATTCAAAATCCAAACTAGGGAACTTCAGTAAGATCATTACAGCAACAAAGTTGCCTATGCCAGAGCTTTTACAAAAGGAATCTGTGAGATTTGATGCCCAGCATTCTGGGCACACTTTCCAAAGCTTAATGTGAACATACACTAAATTTAAACGAGCTCATGCTTGGGTTATCATCACGCTGACGCTGGGCTAATCAATACATCTTACAATACATCTATTGCAAAGTACCTTGCCTACAGCTAGAAACCCACACGGGTAATCATAAAATGAGATAGGTCAACATCGCATATAAAATACAAACACTGAAAACTCAGGACTTGTAAAACAACAGACAGGAAGTATAAAGCCTAGGGCACTCTTTGAGCACTGGGTGGTGGGCTGCATATTTTTCTCTAGGGTTCACTCATGGGCGCTTCAGCTGTGACAACTGCTCTTCTCTAGTACAGCGCTGTGCAAGCACCACTCAGGTCCTTAAGAAATACCATTCGACGCAGCAATCCCACTACTGGGAATATACCCTAAAGAGACCATAACTGCCACCCAAGCGGATATATGCACACCCATGTGTATTGCTCTTGTGTTCACAATAGCAAAGACTTGGAAACAACCCAAGTGCCCATCAACAAACGAATGGATAGAGAATCTGTGGTATATTCACACAATGGAATACTATGCTGCATTGAAAAACAAGGAACTCATGAAATAATATACAAAATGGGGGACGCTGGAGGACATTATGCTCAGTGAAATATCTCAGTCGCAAAAGGACAAATACTGCATAGTGCCACTGTTGTAAAACGGGATTGACATCGGGATTGGAGGGAACCTAAGAAAAGAGGGGATAAATAATGCATACTGCATTGAAACAGATGAGGGAGAGAACTGTTGGAATATATGATTAGGTATCATTTTCATGACAAGATTCCAGAAAAAGAAATGCATAGTAGTGGTGAACTGTGGGCTTGGGGGGCGGGGGTGGGGATTGTATAACAATGAAAGCTGTGTGTGTGTGTGTGTGTGTTTTCTTTTCAAAGAAAAAAGCGTTCTGGGAAAGGGGTGGGCAGGAAGAAAATGTGCAACAATGAATGAATGAGGAAAAAATTAAATGGGAAGAATATGCTGTAAAAAAAATGAAAAAAATACAACTGAAAAAAAAAGAAAAAATATCCCAACATTTTGTGCACTTGCATTTATAATACGGCCCTTCTCCCCTTTTCGTGTTAAGCTACAGAGGTTATTGCGCTTTTGCTTCTTTCCTCCATTGAGTAAATCCGCAGTCCCAAGAAGGCATTATGTGAGTCTGTGATCTCTCAGGCTCAGTTCCCTACCCCACCCCCAGTCACACCCACACCCCTCCACCCTCTGCGGATAAAATCGTCCAAGTAAAGGAAGAACACAAAAGCCCCAGCCAACTCCCTCTAGTTCAGACTCAAATGCACATTAAAAAAGTGCCCATTTTTAAAGTCTTTGTTTTCCAACTTGAATTGTTTCAACTTTGTTGTTATTGTTGTTGTGTGCCATCGAGTGGGAACCAACATTTCCTTTTTCTTTTTTTTTCTTTCTTGTTGTGTACGTGTCCGACTGACACAGGAGATTGCCCCTCCTCCTCCAGCGGAGCGTCTGGTGGGTTCGAACCCGCGCGCCTTCCTCTCGCGGAGTGGGTGGTGGATTCCAAGCGCCTGCCTTCAGGCTAGCTTTGTGCTAACATTAAATTTAAGTTAAATATTACGAGATTTTTCTGCAAAGTGTTTTTCATCTGGATAGTCCACGGACCTGGCGAGGTGTGAGAGACCTTTCACTTTGCGGATGGCTTCAAGCCCTAGGCTTCGTTCCAGCCCTAAAGCTAACCAGGGCTTGTTCCTTTCCGTGCTAACTCTGGCGTTTGTTCCGTTTAGACGATCGTAGAAGGGCCTGATGTCTGTGTGGGTTAAGGGCAGTGGAGACAGATCCTTGTTTGCGCAAGACAGCGGCCTCGGTGCGCGCTCGGGAGCACGTGCGCACAGTCCGCAAAACAAACCCAGCCCACGCTCCCTGGGGACAGGGCAGCACAGCTTTTCCAACCCGGTTCATGTTTTACGGGTCCCCACTGCTCGATGCAAGGTGAGGGGTGGGGTGGGGGTACACACGAGCACGCACGACCCTGGTTCTCCAGCCACGCATGGCCACCCACCCCAGGTGGAGAGAGCTGGCTTTCGCTGGGACCCCTAACCTGGAAGCTCCATCTGCGGGGATCTGCTCCTGGACTTCGGAAAGAGACAGCCCTAGGAGGCTTCAAACCCACTGCCTTCAAGTCCAGTCTGGCTTTCCGAGCCTGTAAATATTTACCAGTGGCTAACCAGCTGGCTCCTGCTGAGGAGCTGGTGGACTCGAACACCCAACCTTTAGGTTAGCAGCCCAACACGCAAAGCACGACTCCACCAGAGCACCTTAAGAAGGCTGCAGGGCCGGATAATTTGGGTTTTCCTCTTAAAAGCCTGTGCTGCCTCCAGAGCGGGCATTTCCCTGTGCCCACACCCGAGCGGGGGAGGCAGCTCCCTGCCAGGTTCCTCCTTTCCGCCGACTTTCTGTTAACCCCCGTGGAGCATCGCAGCCTTTCTAGAGCTCCCCCCCCCCCAGCGGGTAGGCGCTGGCCCAGCTCCCCCGGCACTCACACGTGGCCGCAGCGGGTCCGCACCGGCTGGTGGAGCACCTCCAGGCACACGGAGCAGTCGAAGGACGTGACTGGCAGCTCGGGGCTCCCTCTGCGCTCCAGGCCCCGCGGGGTGGCGGAGGCGGGCGCAGGTTTGCTGTTGTCGCTGCTCAGCAAGGAACCCATCGCAGCCGCTCTCGCTCTCGCCCAGGCAGCTGCCAAGAGCTCAGTGCCTGCAGCCGGCTTGTTTTGTTTTCCTGCGGGTGGAGGAAGGAAGTCCCAGCCCAGCTGTGATCACCGCCTCCCAGCGCTCAGAAACCAGCCTCCGCCGCGGCGCCCAGCCTGGGTCTCAGGCAGGCCCGGGGCGCGCCAGCGCCGCTGAAATCATCTATCGTTAGTCGGAGGGGCTGAGACAGGTAGGCGGAGACGGTAGTCGCCGCATGGCTTGGACTTTGCAACGTCTCCCGGTCCTGCGAACCCTGAAACCTGAAACCTCAGCCGCAGAGAAGATCTGGGCCCGCTGTTTACCTAGCAGGCTTTTATCACACACATCACTGCAATGGCAAGATAAGGAAAGTGCTTCCTGGTCCTGCCTCTTTAGCAACCAGAGATCGCCCACTTGTAAGCGATGGGCCTATCAGCCCTCCACTGTGTAATCGTGTCATTATGTTGTTGTTAGGTGCCCATGAAGCTGTCTGTTCAGAGCCACCCTGTGGATGGAAACCTTGCCCTATCGTGAGCTTTTTAAACCATCTTCCCCAAGCTCACAAACCACCCTGTGACTGGAAGTCCTACCCTATCCTGGGCCTTCTTAACCATCTTCCCCATGCTCACAAACCACCTATGAAGGGAAGCCTTGCCCTATCCTGAGCCCTCTTAACCGTCTTCCACATGCTCACGCCCATTGTTGCAGCCGCTGTTCCCTTGAGAGTCTCCCTATTTCGCTAACTTGCCACTTTCCCAAGTATGAAGTCTTTTCTCAAGGACTAGCCCCCTCCTGACTGCATGCCCCAAAGTATGTGAGGCCAAATTTCACCATCTTTGCCTCCAAGGAGCCACACTGGTTCCATTTCTTCCAAGACAGATGTTTGTTCTTTTGGCGCTCCATCGTGTAAGTAGTCTTTCCCAACACCACTCGTCAAAGGTTCAATTCATCAGTCTTCTTTATTAACTAACTTTTACATGCATAGGAAACAATGGAAACCCAACTTTCTCATGTTTAGGAAGCAAAGTCTAATCACAAGCAATAGCAACTACCAATGGAAAGGAGAACAAAGTGACCTCTGACCCACTGATCACTACTTAGGGCACCTAGTCAACCTCCATCCATGCAGTAGAGGTAAGCGTTGGAGGCCTGCATTCTAACGTGGCATTGGGAATTCCAGTGCTAAATATGATGATCCTCAGATTTCTTGACTCTTCCGCTACTAATTGTTTGCTCTTTCTCTCTTTCTTCCCTTTAAACATAACCAAGAATGTCATTAATTCAATAAAGGTTCAAGTGATATCCATAGCACTCTGTTCTGGTAATGAGGAAGGAGGGGAGAAACACAGGTCTGAATAGACAAATAAAAATCCCAGTTCTCTCCTATTTTACTTTTTAAAAACCTTCAAAATTTTTGAGATCATTATTTGTAGATTCACATGGAGTGGTAGTAAACAATACATAAAAGAGAGAGCTGTTGGCCTAGTGTAAAGAGCCACTGTACCAATCTAAAGGTATGTAGTTAAGACCTACTGGCTGCTCTAAGGGAGAGAGATGGGCAGTCTCCTCACATGTGAGTAATTACCACTGCGAACCTGCTGGAGGGTCAGCCAGGATTCTGTTCCAACTCCACGGGACACAACAATACATACAAACAGTAATAAAGATAATATACAATATTACATGTTGTGTTCGAATGGACTCATAGCTGATCCTCCAGCAGGTGTGCACAGACCATATGCCTGAGGGTTGGAAACACAACTGCTCACCACTAGGTCATCACCAGAGCTCCCTATAATTATATCTAGTAATTCTGCATACTATTTGTTTCCCTCACTCAGAATTTACATACAAGTAAATGAACATGATTATTTCAGAAAATGATGAAACCTATGGAGATGGTGAACCAGGGAATGAGGATGGGAGAAAGGATAGGAAGGTCAGAGAAAACTTTTTGGCTGAGGTGAAATTTGAGCAGAGTCATGAATAATAAAAAGGAGTCAGCCATTCAGAGATTTCTGAGAAAAGCTTGCGAAGCACTAGCAGCGGTCAGTGATACAGGAACAAAGAACAGAAAGAGGACGTGGAGAACTGGGCAGAGAGACTAAAGCAGGTAGATGGAATGGGAGGTGGTGGGAGAGGTGGTCAGATTCTGATCATATCCAGTCTTACTGGCCAGGATCAAAAACTCAGAGCATTTATTTAAAGTATCATGCTTTGATTTTATATGGTTGCTGTAGAGAGAAGGGACAGAGACAAAGCAAGAATGGAAAGAGAAATCTTTTCGGAGGCTACTTAAGAAATGCAAGTGAAGGATCACAGAGGCTCAAATCGAAGAGCCAGCTTGGTAGAAGGTCAGAGGTAGATAGGTTTGGGGCAAAATTAGGAGAAAGATCTAAAAGGGCTTGCTGATGCAGAATACCCGAGGCAAAGAAATACAGCCACTGCTATTTAAAAACAAACCAACCCCACAACCTTTCCTTAATCCCACACAGCTCTCAACTCTTGCTACATATATTCTTTAAGACCAACTCTCATTATCAGATTTTCTACATTTATGTCCCAAAATTCTGCTGCCAAGGACCTCTATAGAGTACTGAAGAGCAATGATGTTAGTCTGGAGACTAAGGTGCACCTGATATAGGCCATAGTCTTTACAATTACTTGTTATGCATCAGAGAACTGGACAATGACTAAGGATGATAGAAGAAAAATCAATTCCTTTAAGTTGTGATGCTGAAGAAGAGTGTTGAACACACTGTGAACTGCCAGAAGAACAAACACTTTCATCCTGGAAAGGTGAATCCAAGCTGTTCCCTGGAGGGGAGGATTTTGAAGCTCCATCTCACATACTTTGGGCATGTGGCCAGGATGGACTCGTCCTTGGAGAAGAACATCATGCTTTGAAGGGAGGAGGGACAGCACAGGAGAACAAGACCAGAATGATATGGATTGACTCAGTGACTGGAGAAATGGGATTAGGTCTGTTGGAGATGATGAAATTGGTTCAGGATAGGGCAGGGTTTAGAGCTGTTGTACATAGGGTCACTATGAGTTGGAGTCAACTCGACAGCACATAACAACATTCCAATCCAGTTTTTATCTACTTTGATAAAATTTTCATTCAGAACCCATCCCTCCACTTCATCTTTCTATGGCTCCATCACTAATGGTAGTGGTGATCATCATATGTGCTAAACTCCAGGAGCCTCTTTTCAATGTATTTCTTGCTTTACTTCTCAACTATGTTTGTCAGCATTGACCAGTCTCTCCTTCTAGAAACACACTTCAGCTTGTCTTCTTCCTTTTCAGTTAATTCTTTACAGTCTCATTTACTGGTGATTCTTTCTCCATGAAAAGCCTAAATGCTGGGGATACTAAAATTATGTCCTCAATCCCTTTCCCTTTTCATTAATCACTCCCTCCTGAAGAATCTCAAAAATCTCATACACTCTATTACTATGTAAATTTTCAAGTTCTTCAAATCTTTATCCATCCCACCCAGGTCACTCAAATGCCTGACTTCTTTATCACTGCCCAGTTGCTTCAACAGGTTCAACTAATTGCACTTAGTAATTAATTGCTTACTAGTGAGCTCTCTCTTAAGTGATGGTGTTGCATACACCTGGTAGTTTAACTCAGACGCTTATGAGTCATCTTTGTTTTCTTCCTGTCTTTCATTCACATTGAATCAATCACAACCACAATTGCATTTTTACTATATCTCTTAGTAGTTCCTGCATTGGTCTGGTGTATTTCATTTTTAAAGGAATCATGTTCTCTTGTGTGACCTATTTCAATAGTTCCTAATTGATCTGCTTGCATCAATGATTGCTACCATATAATCTAATACTCACATTGCAACTAAAGTAACCTTTTGAAGGAGTAATGTGTTATGCCATCCTTACAAAGCTTCACTTGCTCTCAACTCTTAGCATTAAATTCCAAGTCCTTAAAGGGATCAACGATGTCCTCACCGTCTGACCCCTTGTGTAACTGTAATCAGGACATACATCTTTAACAGCAGTCAATGAAAATCAAACTAGAAGTAACCGAGTCAATGTGACATTTGGTAATTCAGAATAATTAAAAGCCAAAAAAAGGGGGGGAGGGAACCAACCACAAAACTAAAGATGTGAGTATTGTATCTGCAGCGTCTGCCTCATAACAGAAAGATGGTTGCGACAGCTCCAACGATCACACCTACATAAAACAAATAAGGAACAATGGAATTTTTTTTCTTGTTACTCTCTATACTTTTATGTGGAAGAGAAATGCTTCCTAGGAGCTGTCTTCCACAGACACCTTGTTTCTCATTTATCCAAACTGGACCACATGACTGTACCTAAACTGCAGAAGAGAATGGGAGTATTCTGATTCTAAGCTGTAATGACTGGGCAACTTGGTTACCTGAAACAATAGAATTCATGTTCTTAAATTACAAGAAGGTGATGATGGTAGTTGGACAGGCCAATAGAAGGATCATCCAAAATAACCATTGGGGCCACATTTTATATCACTCTTTAGGCTCTAACAGTTTTTATTCTTCGCGCTCTAACAATTTTTAGATCTTAAACATTTTTAGTTTATAAAATTCTCTTGGATCTAAACATTTTTACACTTCTTTACATTTCTTGAGTATATGAAATTTTCTTAGGTCTCAGGGAAAACTTTTTATACTTGTTTTTTTTCTCTTCACGGGTACTTCCTGGCCACTCCACTACTACTTCCAACTCAACTTTCTACCACCCAACTTTAAATCTTAGTCTGGAAGCCTTTTTATGCCACATCCACTTTGTACTGTTGGCTTGTATATCTTACAGCACACTATTGCTGCCTTTCTATTTAACTTGTTTATATTTATTTTTCACTCAACTCAGCAACACCTAACAACAACACAGAGAGAGCTTTGTTGGCCTTGTGGATAGAAAGTTATGCTATCAAGTCAAAGGTGAGTGATTTTAATCTGCAGCCCTCAGGC